ACTCTTAGGGGCCCCCAACACAACCCCTTGGGGGCCCCTTGGGGTCCCCCAGTTGCTGCAGTCTTATCGGGGGGTAGGGTGCAGCAGCATCAGCAGCAGCAACAGCAGCAAGAGCAGCAGCAGCAGCAGAGAGTCCAACAGCACAACAGCATTGGGTCATTTATTCCTTATAAATTAAATTGTTTATCTAGGGGGCCCCCCTTGGGGTGTATAGGGGCCCCCCCATCATTTTGTTGTTTTTTTTCTTCTTTTCTTAAGAATAGACAATATGAAGAAAAGGTCATAAAAAGCAGCAGCAGCAACAGCAGCAGCAGCAGCAGCAGCAGCATAACCCCAGAACTGTTACAGACATATGCTAATGAGCTGCCTATACACCCCACCATCAGCAGCACCATCAGCAGCAGCAGCAGGAAGAAAAAGAAGAAAGGACGTAAGAGATGGATAATAAGAGGAGCAGCAATTGCTGCTGCTGCTGCAGCAATAATTAATTTATTTATAAATGATCCTTTTTATGAATTATTAGAGGAAGAAAGAGATGCTGAGGAGGAGCAGCAGGAGCAGCAGCAGCAGCAGCAGCAGCAATTGTTGCTTCGTGTACAGCAGCAACTGCAGCAACTGCTGCAGGAGGTGCAGCAGCAACCTATATATATAAATATAACAGCAGCAGCAGCAAATATATATAAAGAAATAAGTAATTACTGCAGCAAATATGAATTATTATCTTATATACCTTCTTTCTCCTTATTCAGCAGCAGCAGCAGCAGCAGCAGCAGCAGCAGCAGCAGCAGCAGCAGCAATATAATAAATATATTAGAGGAAAAGAGTATACTGCAGCAAATGATGAATTGGGGTGTACAGGGATGGATAAGATTCATAAGAACATTTATTTATTTATTTATTTCCTTAATAGATTATAAATTAGTATTTATATATATAGATATTATTAATATAAGACAGCAACAACTTGCTGCTGCAGCAGCAGCAGCAGCACATGCAGCACATATTGCTGCTACACAATACCTACAACAGCAACAACAGCAACAGCAACAACAACAAACAGCAGCAGCAGCAGCAGCAACAGCAACAGCAACAGCAGCAGCAGCAACAACAACAGACACAGCAAAAGATACATCAAAAGAATCATCAACAACAGCAGCAACAGCAACAACAACAACAGCAACAGCAGCAGCAGCAGCAGCAGGAGATAAACGAACAAGATTATATATAGAAGAAGAAGAACGTATAATAAATAAATTGAATAAATTAAGGAAAAAAGAAGAAGAAAAAATAAATAATGTACATAATAGGGGAGCAAATAGATTATTATATATATGTAATATAAATGGTGGTATATATACAAAATTAGGACAATATATATGTACATGTAAATATATACATATATTTCCTTGTATATATACAAAAAAATTACGTAAATATATATATGATGATATAAAACGTATAAATTTTATATATATAGATAAATTAATTAATAAGGAGCTAGGTAACCATTGGTCATCTTTTTTTATAGAAATAGATATGCATGCAGCAGCAGCAGCTAGTCTTGCTCAGGTACATTGGGCAAAAAGAAGAAAAGATTCTGCTGCTGTTGCTGTTAAGGTGCAGCGGCCGCTGCTGCTGCGCTGCAGTTATATAGATTTGCTGCAGTTACGTATATTTTCTTATATTTCTTCTTTTTTTTTTCCTTATTCTTATCCTATTTCTTTTATTATTTATTTATTTAATTATAATATTATTCATGAATTATTTTTCCTACAAGAAGCATATAATTGTATAAGAATAAAAAGGATATTAGCTGCCTATACACCCCAATTATATATACCATGGATAGATTGGTCTCTTACTACTGATAAAATTATTACCATGGAATATATTGATGGATATAAACTTAATCAATTAGATTCTCTTATTAATAATAATAATAATAATAATAATAGCAGCAGCAGCAGCAGCAGCAAGTGCAGCAGCAAATGCAGCAGCAGCAGCAGCAAGAATAGTATAGATAGGAATAAATTAGCATATTTATTGTTGTCTGTCTTTGGGGATATGTTGCATGTACATGGTCTTGTACATTGTGATCCTCATCCAGGTAATATATTAATAAGAAAGATAAAAAAGAAGGAGCTGCAGCAGCAGCAGCAGCAGCAGCAGCAGCAGCAGCAACAGCAGCAGGAAGAATTATTTATACAAGAACAAGAACAACAAATGTTATTACATCAACAAAAATATAATTATATACATAATAATAATTATTATAATAATATATTACCTGTATACAACCCCAACAACATTAGTACAACAATTAACAGCAGCAGCAGCAGCAACAGCAGCAGCAACAGCAGCAGCAGCAGCAAGGATGATGATGAATACGAACTACAAATAGTATTATTAGATCATGGTATGTATAGACGTTTGTCTCCTTCCTTCCGTGTATATTATAATTATTTATATTTATATTTATTATTAAATAATATACAAGAAGCAAGACATGCATTATATTTATTAGGTATTAATAAATATATACAATTATATCAGCAGCAGCAGCAGCAACAGCAGCAAATCATGCAACAAATGCAGCAACAACCTCTATGGAAAAATATACTCCTATGGATAAAAGGACAAGGTATTAATCCTATCTATACAGACCCTACCCTCCTCCTTACCAGCAGCAGCAGCAGCAGCAGCAGCAGCAGCAACAGCAGCAGCAGCAGCAGCAGCAGCAGGAATATAATTAAATTAGACCAAGACACAGTACTAGATATATTATCCTTATTACTTACTCATAGACCACAGATAGGACTCAAGACACAACTAGGGGCCCCCTTGCATGCACAGGATCGTAAAAGGGTACTAGAGGCATTGGGGGGCCCCCCCTCTTCTTCGTCAACATCAGGAACAACAACAGCAGCAGGAGCAACAACAACAGCAGGAGCAGCAACAACAGGAGAAGGAGAAGGAGGAGAAGAAGAAGAAGGAGGAATAATACAACAATATAGTATGTCTGCTGCTGCTGCAGTTGCTGCTGTGCTGCAGTTGCTGCCTATGGATATTTTATGGATACTAAGGATGCAGTATTTATTAAGGGGAATAAATAAACAAATAAAAGGAGACAATAAATTATTCTTATTAATCATGGCTAATTCTGCATGCAAAGGCATGCAAATAAGGGACGATCTCCTGCAGCAAAAGCTACAAGAATGTCAACTATTTCTTGCTGCTAATTCTGCTGCTGCTGCTGCTGCTGCTGCTGCTGCTACTCCTCCTCCTCCTCCTGCAACACAAAATGCAGCAGCAGCAGGAGAGGGGGGAGGAGATATTCATGCAGAACAAGGACTCAATACTAACAATACAGACAGCAACAGCAGCAACAGCAGCAACAGCAGCAGCAGCAGCAGCAGCAGCAGCAGCAGCAGCAAGAAGAAGAAGAGAAGGGAGAGAGGAGTAGCACCTAGATGGTATGAATTACCTGGCAAAGATTCTCTTAATTTACCTGTTGCCTCTGAGTACCCTACCTATGCTTCTTGGACCAGCAGACGCAGCAGCAGCAGCAGCAGCAGCAGCAGCAGCAGCAGTGAATCTGTTGCAGCAGCAGCAGCAGCAGCACCTGCTGCTGCTGCTGGAGGGGGCATGCAATTAAGGGATCCATTAGAGGATTTATATACACAAATGGTTATTGTTAATGGGCAGCAGCAAGGAGACCCTCTTGCTGCTTATAGGGGACAGCATGGGGAGCCACCAGGCCCGCTGCAGCAGCAGCAGCTCCTGCTGCTGCAGCAGCAGCAACAAAGAGCAGCACAACTATGTCAACAATATCCTCTGCTGCTGCACTCCTTATGTGGACCTCTACAGCAGCAAAAACACAACAATATACCCCGCCTGGCTGATACAATATACAGCAGCAGCAGCAGCAGCAGCAGCAGCAGAAGCTGCAGCTGCTGCAGCTGCAGCAGGAGCAGCAGCAGCGGCAGCAGCAGCAGCAGCAGCAGCAGCTTGTCTAGTCCTAGTTCTTCTGGGCTAACAGTAGCCTCTCGACTTCTATACAGGTCTTTGCATAAGACAGCAGCAGCAGTAGCTGCTGCTGCTGCTGCTGCTGGAGCACCAGCAGCAGCAACCACACCAGCAACTGCAGCACCAGCAGCAGCAGCAGCAGCAGCACCAGTACAGGCACCTTGGGTATATATGAGTGTATGGAGTTGTATACGTTTGCTGCTGCTGCGCATAGAGTTGCTGCTGACGATCTTCTTGCTGCGCATGCAGCTATGGTTTGCTGATTTGCTGCTGTATATTGCTGCTAGAACTAAGCTGCAGCAGCAACATAGTAGACGATAGCAGCAGCAGCAGCAGCAGCAACAGCAGCAGCAGTTGCTGCTGCTGCTGCAGTCCTGTTTGTTGGATACACACACAGCAGCAGCAACCGCAACGACGGACTCCTATGGCTAGCTAGCTAGCTAGCTAGCTGCATGTGTCTGCTGCTGCTGGAGTAGTAGCAGCAGCACCTCCTGCTGCTGCTGTTGCTGCTGCTGCTAGCACCACCAGCAGCAGCAGCAAGAAAAGGGACAGACCTATTGATGTTGGTTTAATTTTTTAGTGTCTCCTTTTATTTGTTTTAATTCTTCTACACTTAGATTTAGCTATCTTGCTGCTGCTGCTGTTGCTGCTGCTGCTGCTGCTGCTGCTGCTGCTGTTGCTGCTGCTCTTGTCGCTATATATACCCTTAGTCCGTTAGGTGTCTCCTTTAGTGTATTTAAATAAAGGCCCTTAGCTCTCTGTTTATCTAGCAGCAGCAGAAGCAGCAGCAGCAACAGCAGCAGCAACAACAACAACAGCAGCAGCAGCAGCAACAACAGCAGCAGCAGCAAGAGCATGCAATATAAAGTTAGTGTATATCATTGAAGGGTTTCCCCCATAAAGTTTGTATGCAAACAGCTTCCCGCTGCTGTCACAGCAGCAGTGCATGCATGCATGCAATATAGTAAGAAGTTTTAATAAGAAGAGAGGGATGGTGACCATTGGTCTTGCTGCATAGACAGCAGGCCTCTTTCGGGTGTATTGGCAACTCTGCTGCTGCTGCTGCTGCTGCCAGCAGCAGCAAAAGAGGAAGCTAATCTAGATGGCCATAGAGGCTCTGCTGCTCTTCCGTATGCTGTTGCTGCAGCAGGAACAAAAGAACCCCAGCGGCTGCTTTGCTGCAGCAGCAGCGGCTGCCGCTGCTGCTGCTGCTGCTGCAGCGGCTGCTGCTGCAGGGGCTGCTGCAGCAGCTGATACGGCTGCTGCCGTATAACAGGCAGCAAGCGTCTCCTTAAGGGGAAGGCAGAGGACGTAAGACCCCACAAGGGGTCTCCTAGAGGCCCTGCTGCTGCTGCTGCTGCTGCTGCTGCTGCTCCTGTTGCTGCTGTTGCTGCTCTGTTATAAGGAGGGAAGAGCTCTAAATCAGGCCCTGCTGCAGCACCAAGAGGGAACGCATCCGCTTGCTGCTGCAGCAATTGCTGCTGCTGCAGCTGCTGCAGCAGCTGCTCTTGTGCACGACGGCGCTGCCATTGCTGCAGCTGATCCTGCTGCTGCTGCTGCTGCAGCAAACGCTGCCTGTACCCTAGACGATTCATCCCTAACAATTGCTGCTGCTGCTGCAGCAGCTGCTGCTGCTGCAGCAGTAGCTGCTGCTGCTTCCGGGCATTGTCTAGAGCAGCGCTGCTGCTGCTGCTGCTGCTGCTGCTGCTGCTCAATCCTAGTAGCCCTAAGCTTGACATTGGATCTGCGGGTTGCTGCTGCAGCAGCAGCTGCTGCGATAGGTGCGTCAGCTGCTGCTGCTGCTGCTGCTGCCGCTGCAGCAGAGAATTCGTTAAGCCCCCGCTGCCCCCAAAGACACGCTTACTAAATGCAGGATCTGCTGCTGCTGTGTTAGACAGCAGCAAGCTGCTGCTGCTGCTGCTGCCTAATAGAGGCAGCTTGCTGCTGCTTTGCTGCAGCAGCAACGGGTCAGTGCGTGTTGCGCTGCTACCAACGGAGTACAGAGACGGTGTCTGCTGCAGCAGCAATTGCTGCTGCTGCTGCTGCTGCTGCAGCTGCTGCTGCTGGCTCTGTAAGAAGGAGCCCCTAAGAGAAGGCATTGCTGCTGCTGGCTCCCACAGCAGCAGCAAAGGAGACCCTGCAGCAGCAGCAAGAGAATAGAAGCAAACAGCAACAGATAATAACTCTGTGTCTCCTTTTGCTGCTGCTGCTGTTGCTGCTGCAGGACATCTTAAACCCCATCTTACAGCCAGCAGCAGCGGCTTGCTGCTGCTGCTGCTGCTGCTGCTGCTGCTGCTGCTGCTGCTGCTGCCTAAGAAAGTTAACCCTGTAGCACGAGCGCCATAGACAGGAGGCTTAAGTCTATAGCGAAGGGAGGCGCTGCTGCGCCATAGGTCAACCCCACCATATAGCTGCTGCTGCTGCTGCTGCTGCTGCAGCAACAGGTGCTGCTGCTGCTGCTGTGGTACAGGAGGGAAGCTGCAGCAAAACAGCAGCACCTCAGGACATGCAGCAGCAGCAACAGCAACAAAACAAAGACCTCTTGCTGTGTCTTCTATTACACCAAGACACTCCAACTCCCCTACTTCCTGCTGCTGCACTCCTGCTGTTGCTGCTGCTGCTGCAGCAGCAGCAGCAGCAGCAGTAGATGTTGCTGCAGCTATTGGGGAAGTACCAATACGGATAGATCGCGGCATCTGCCACGCAATACAGAAGCCAACCAGCTGCTGCTGCTGCTGCTGTTGCTGCTGCTGCAGCTGCTGCTGCTTCATATACTGCTGCTGCTGCTGCTGCTGCTGCTGTTGGTGCTGCCTGCGCTGCTGCTGCTTTAGCTGCTTCTTATATGGATGTTTTGTATGTACACCTGGTAAGAAAGGCAGCAGCAAGCAGCGAGAGACACTGCGCAGGAAAGTTGCTGCAGCAGCAAGGAAGCTGCTGCTGCTGCTGCTGCTGCTGCAGTCATCAGCAGCAGAGAAACCAATTAAGTAGATGCTGTTGCTTCCCTGTATACCTAGCAGCAAGCAGCGCATACCCTCACATCGCTGTAGATACACCTTACCCCCTCTTGCTGCTGCTGCTGCAGTAGCAGCAGCAGCAGCAGCAGCAAGAGGCAGCTTAGATACACCTAATAGAGACACAGGGGGCCCCCCTAGCAGCAAAGAATCCTCTGCCCTGTGCTGCAGTTGCTGCAGCACGAGTAGTCCCTTGCTGCTGAGTACAGCAACACAGCAGGAACCGTTGTTGCTGCTGCTGCTGTTGCTGCAGCCCGTGCTGCTGCAGCAGCTGCTGCTGCTACTAAGGGTAGGAGCAGCAGCAGCAGCAGCAACCTGCTTATGCCCTATTAGGTACTCTTTTATACCAAAGAGAGAGAAGGAAGAAATACAGCAGCAAGATGGTGGGGTGTACGTACACCCTAAATTAAGGGGATAAAATAATGTTATACCTGTCTTGCTGCTGCCACATACTAATGGTGATGCAGCACACCAATTAATGCTGCTGCTGCTGCTGCTGCTGCTGCAGTATATGCTGCTGCTGCTGCTGCTGCTGCTGCAGTAGCTGCTGCTAGTAGGAGAAGGAAGCAAGAAAAGATCATCAAGGGGAGGACTAAACCAATCACGCCAAACTTCTACCCAATTGCCACATTCAGGTGTACATACACCCCAATTGCTGCTGCTGCTGCTGCTGCTGCTGCTGTTGCTGTTGCTGCTGCTGTTCATATTGCCCCACCATGCTGCTGCTGATGCTGCAGCAGAAGGCTGCTGCTGCTGCAGCAACTGCAGCAAACCATCGGAATAAGACAGCAGCAAACGAGGAGACATATCCTTGTCTCCTTGATCGTATAGAAACAGAGCGCAGCAGACACTGCGGCACTTGCTGCTGCTGCTGCTGCTGCTGCTGCTGTTGCTGTTGCTGCTGCTGCTGCTGTTCCTGCTGCTGCGCTGCTGCGGAGGAGGCTCCAGCAGCAACTCTGCTAAGGAATCTGCCTCCCCTGAGTGCAGCACCAAAGGATCGTGTGGGGCACTACCCAGCAGCACCTGCTGCTGCTGCTGCTGCTGCTGCTGCTGCTGCTGCTGCCCGCCAGCAGCAGCAGCAGCAGAAGTAGCAGTTATAGCAACACATCCTCCTTTATCTACATCGCAACTTCTTTTGCTGCTGCAGCCATCAGCAACAAACAAGCAGAGTTGCTGCTTCCTAGTAGGCAGCTGCTGCTGCAGCAAGGAGAACCCGAACTGCTGCTGCTGCTGCTGCTGCTGCTGCTTCTGCTGCAAGCTACAGGCAGGTCCTAGTGCTAACGTTAGTGCCCCATACTTGCTGCAGTGTAGCTGCTGCTGCTGCTGCTGACGGCGCCATGGCAGCAGCAGCTGCAGCACAGCATGTAGACTGTTTCGTGCTGCAGCAGGCAGCAGCAAAGACAGCAGCCTACAGGGTAGGGTAAATGCTGCATGCTGCTGCTGCTGCAGCTGCTGCAGCAGACGCAGCAGCAGCCGCTGCAGTTGCAGGGTTGCTGGGCCCCCAAAGGAAGCAGCACCCTGCAGCAGCAGCAGATCAGCAGCAGATGTCTCTTGCATGCAGAGATTAATAAATGCTGCTGCTGTCTCTGCTGCAGCAGCAAAAGGAGACAAACCTAAAAAGGAGACACCTTGAATACATCGCTGCAGCGCAGCAGAAGCAAGAGGCTGCTGCTGCTGTTGCTGCTGCAGACCCGGTAGCTTGCTGCTGCTGCTGCTGCTGCTGACACCTCCTAAGCAGCTCACATAAGGGGGAGGTGCAGCACCAGGAGACAGGTAGGCAGCCGCAGCGGCAGCAGCAGCAGCAGACGAAGGTGGCTCTGCTGCTGCTGCTGCACCCCGTGCAGCTCGTGCTGCTGCTGCTGTTGCTGTTGCTGCTGCTGCATCTGCTGCAGCAGAATTAAGAGAAGGTAGGGGCAGACCAAAGGCCCTGCACTGCTGCGCTGTATCTGCTGCTGCTATTGTCTTATAAGGCAGCAATATCTTACCGTCCTGCTGCTGCTGCTGCTGCGTACGACGCTGCTGCTGCTGCTGCTGCTGCTGCTGCTGTAGGGTAGACCAACCCGCACGACTGCCAGATATGCTGCTGCTGCTGCTGCTGCTGCTGCTGCTCCCTAGTGCTGTTGATGGTGTTTGTGCTGCTGCTGCTGCTGCAGCAGGCGCCCTGTCTCTACGACGCAACGACGCCCCACTTATAAGAGGCACAGGCTCCTCCAGCTGCTGCTGCTGCTGCAGCTGCTGCTGCTGCTGCTGCAGTAGTCGCTGGTCCTCCTCCTCCTCCAGGACGCATGCAGAGAGCACAGGGGGCGCCATTATTGCAGCTGCTGCTGTTGCAGCAGCAGCTGCTGCTGCTCCCTTCGATGTAAGAGCAGGATATATGGAGGAGGGGCCCCAAGTGGCTGCTGCTCCTGCTGCTCCTGCTGCTGCTGCTGCTTAGCTGCAGCAGCAGCAGGCACACATACACCAGAAAGGTCTAAAGTTTGTTTTGTCAGTTCCTAACATTAAAATGTAAGTGCGTATGGGCCTGTGTTGCTGCTGCAGACCCCGCTGCTGCTGCTGCTGCTGCTGCTGTTGCTGCTGTTGCTGCTGTTGCTGTTTTTGCTGCTGCAGCAAACAAGCAGAGAGAAAGAATTCGCTGTTACTTTGAAAGCGTCAAGACAAAATAACTTAGATCGATCGTTTTTGCATGCATGCAGCAGCAGCAGCTGCTGCAGCTGCTGCTGCTGCTGCTGCTGGTCCAACCTTAGGGGCTGCAACAACAACAACAACAGCAGCAGCAGCAGCAGCAGCAGCAGCAGTCGGCGCTCGTGCTGCTGCCTGGGGCTTCGTGTCTCAATGTAGACAATAAATAAAAAAGAAATAAATAAAATAAATATAACTATCTGTCTCTGTTTACTTATTCTTGCTGCTGTTGCAGCAGCAGCTGCTGCTGCTGATTGTTCAAGAGCAGCAGCAATAGCAGCAGCAGCAGCAGCAGCTGCCGCAGCTGCTTGTCTATAATAAGGAACATTTCCTCCCTTTTCTCTTTACACAGACAGATATATAAGGTGTTATTTATTTATTATTATTATTATTTAATCAATAGCAGCAGCAGATAGCAGCAGACGCAACGTGTACTGCAACAGGAGGAGCAAATTGCTGCTGCTGCAGTTGTTGCTGCTCTTGCTGCAGCAGCTGGTGTCTTTTTCCTTTAGTACCTGTTTATTAACCCCACGTCTTTGTGTCATTTCTGTTAGTAGGGAATCTGTTGCAGCAGCAGCAGCAACAACAACAGCAACAACAGCAGCAACAGCAGCAGCAACAGCAGCAGCAACAGCAGCAGCAGCAGCAGCAGCAGCAAAATGATTTATTCTTTTTACATATTTCATAGAAATCGCTGCATATTTGTCGCTCAATATACACATAAGAGAGCATCTAAGGATCCTGCTGCTGCTGCAGCAGCTGCAGCAGCAACAACAACAGCAACAACAACAACAACAACAGGAGGCCAATCATCACCAGCAGCAGCAACAGCAGCAACATTAGCAGCAGCAGCAGCAGCAGGAATTCAATTAGTACATAATAATAATAATAATAATCATAGAGGTAGCAGCAACATAATCCCTAACTATCCATCATCATCATCATCAGCAACAACAACAGCACCACAACCATCATCATCATCATCATCAGCAGGAGCAGCAACAGCAGCAGCAACAGCAGGAGCAGCAGCAGGAGCAGCAGCAGGAGGAGGAGGAGATGCATCAATAATATTAACAAGAAGAGAGCAGCAAACAATAAGATTATTATCTGGTCTAATCTATTCTATGCGTCGTTTTTGTGAGCAAATATCTCCATCAATAAACAACAACAGCAGCAGCAACAACAGCAGCAGCAGCAGCAGCAGCAGCAGCAACAGCAGCACAATCAGCAGCAGCAACAGGAACAATAAGAATAAATTTAATAGTTATAGTACAAATGAATATAAATTACATTATTTATATACAGATACAGGTTATGGATTTGTATGTATATCTTCCCCTAATATAAATTATTTAATAAAAGAATTAAATTTTATTTATATTTATTTATTTATTCATATTATTATACTTAATCCTTTTTATTCATATTCTCCTCCAATTGCTGCATCTCCTGCACCTCCTCTTCCTCCTCCTCCTGCTGCTGCTGCTGCTGCTGCTGCTCCTGCTGCTGCTGCTGCTGGTGGTGGTAGGGGGGGAGGAGGAGGAGGGAAGAATAATTTATTAATAAATTGTCCTCTTTTCTCTCAGCAATTAAAATTATTTCTTTCTTCTCTTCCTTCTTGGGACTCATAAACAAGACAGCTCCTCCTGCTGCTCCTGCTCCTGCTGCTCCTGCTCCTGCTGCTGCTGCTGCTGTAAGTAGTAGTAGTAGTGGTACTTGTTGGGGGGTATTCTCCTCCTCCTGCTGCTGCTGCTGTTGCTGCTGCTGCTGCTGCTGCTGCGGAGAAGATGGCGGAGAACGCGTTCGCGACGTCTCTGTATGAGCAGTTACCGGAGGGGCATCCAGCAGCAGCAGCAGCAGCAGCAGCAGCTGCTGCTGCTGCTGCAGCTGCTGCAGGTGCTGCTGCTGGAGGAGGAGGAGGACAGGAGCATCCACATATAGATATGCTGCTGCGTCAGCAGCAAGTGCTGCAGCAAGCAGCACAACTGCAGCAAGGATCTTTCTTTGAGTTATTAGCGCAGCAAAAATTATTAGATGGTCTGCATGCAGCCCTATACCATTGTGTTAATACACTGCAGCAATTCTATGCTAATCGTGCTGCTGCTGCTGCTGCTGCTGCTGCAGCAGGAACAGGAACAGGAACAGGAACAAGAGCAGCAGCAACAATAGAAGATGCAGCAGCAGCAGCAGCAGAAGCAACTGCAGCAAGTACTTCGGGCAGTGAGACAGAAAGGAATACAGATGATGCTGCTGCTGTAGAGCAACAGCAGCAGCAGCAGCAGCAACAGCAGCAGCAGCAGCAGCAGCAGCAGAGAGTGCGTACACAGTTTCGTTCCTTAGAGGGTTCTTTTGTGTCTGCATGGTTATGGCGTCGTCTAGTTAAGGCAGCAGCAGCAGCAAAAGCAGCAGCAGCAGCAGCAGCAGCAGCAGCAGCAGCAGCAGGAGCAGGAGGAGGTGTAGGAGGAGAAGGAGGAAGTATGAGAGTATCGCGTTTGTTGCTGCAGCCAGGTGCTGCATCTGCTGCTGCTGCTGCTGCACTTGGATGGGTGCAGCAGCAATTTAATTTGCTGTATTTGCTGCTGCTGCTTGCTGCAGAGACACACAGTTTTGTATATAATTCTTCTTCCTTATCTGAGGGTTTTTATTCAATAAAAAGGGAAGACAAAAAGATATTTATGCTGCATGCAAGATTAAATCATCCCTGCAGCAGCAGCAGCAGCAGCAGCAACAGCAACAGCAGCACGAGTTGGAGCAGCAGCAGCAGAATAAGGGGTCATAGAGATACCACTGTTGCACCGGTACAGCCTATTGCGCTGCTGCAGCAGCAGCAGCAGCAAATCAATAAAGAAGCAGCAGCAATTGCTGCTGCTGTCCCTTCCTCATTGTCTCCTTTTAAGGTTATTTGCTGCGTAGCAGCAGAAGTGCTGCTGCCTTATATAAGGAGACACCTGCAGCAGCAGCATCTGCTGCTGCAGCAGAATCCTGCTGCATTAGATAATGCTGCAGCAAATGCAGCAGCAGCAGCACAAAGACGTATAGCAGCAACAGCAGCAGCAATTGCTGCTGCTGCAGCAAAACTAAGGAGACTCAAGGAGACACCTCCTTCTCCCTCCCTTAATACAGCAGATCTCCTCTCCCTACTCAACAGCAGCAGCAGCAGCAACAGCAGCAACAGCAGCAACAGCAGCAACAGCAACAACAACAGCAGCAGCAGCAGCAGGAGTGATAGAATAACATTACGTATAGCAGCAGCAGCAGCAGATTGGGGTGTACGTATCCGTTTGCTGCTGCGTCGTGTATATTTGCTGCTGCTGCTGCATATATTACGTATACGTTTATTGCTGCAGCAGCAAATATTATATAATAATAAATTGGGGTGTATATGCAGGTATATATATAAGAAATTAATAATTTTTTTTCCTTTTTTTTCTTTATATAATGATTTATTTATATTTATTTATTATTTATTATATATAATAGATCCTATTGCTTTTCCTTATTGGTCCCCTTATATGCATCTACTAGGTCTTGTATATGTTAGGGCTCCTCCTCCTGCTGCTCCTGCTGCAGCAGCAGCAGCAGCAGGAAGAGCAGCAGCAACAACAGCAGCAACAACAGCAGCAGCAACAGCAGCAGGAGGAAGAGGAGGAGGAGGAAGAGAGAGACAGCAGCAGCGTCCTTGGTGGTTATCTACAGCAGCAGCAGCAGCAGCAGGAGGTGCAGGAAGTATACGTAGATGTCTTGCTGCTGTGCTGCTGCTGCTGCGGTCATTAGAGTGGTGGTTTTCTTATGAATCTTCTTTGCTGCTAATTAATAATAATAATAATAAATATAATTATTTATTTATTTCTCCTCCTCCTCCTCCTCCTCTTATTAATAAAAAAAAGAATAATAATAACAATAATAATAATATTAATAATAATAATAATAATATTAAGCTGCATGCACTGCCACAGGTAATTATTTTTTTTTTTTCTGCTGCTGCTGCTGCTGTTGCTGCTGTTGCTGCTGCTGCTGTTGTATTTATATATTCATATTTTAGCTAAACAAAAGACATAAAAATAAATAAATTAAATAATTAATTAATTAATTAATTTATTTATTTATTTATATATTTAATTTATTTATTTATTTATTTATTCATTTTTTTATTTATTTATTTATTTATTTAACCAATCAATTAATTAATTTATTTATTTATTTATTTATTTATTTAACTAATTAACTAATTAATTAATTAATTAATTAATTAATTAATTAATTAATTAATTAATTAATTAATTTATTAATTTATTTATGTGTACAGGATCCACGTATATGTACATTATGTAGATATCCAAGAGAAAATGCTGCATGCATACCTACAGGTTATGTTTTTTGTTTTTCTTGTATTTCTTCCTTTATTAATAAACAAGGAGTATGTCCTATTACAGGCATTAACATAAAAAAGGAACATATAAGAAGACTTTATGAGGCCAGGAGCTAGGGTTTAGGGTTTAGGGTTTAGGGTTTAGGGTTTAGGGTTTAGGGTTTAGGGTTTGGGAGGTAACAGAAAAAAAAAAA